TAAAGTATTGTACTCTATTTCGACTGTGCGTACGTTATACTTTACAAGACACATAAAGTACGCAAAAATACTTTATTTAAGGCCTTAAGTAAACATCGTAATTTTGTAAGCGATTATTCGAAATTCAGAGTATTTTTACATCAATAATATTGCACAGAAAAAATAGCAAGCCATATTTACGGAATAACCTGATTTCCCATATCTGTTCAAGGTTGTGTCACTTTTGCTGTCCGTTCCGGTCACTTCAGCATTTATAGAAAAGAACTTTTAGTTTGCTTAAATCTTTGTTTGCCATGTTTAGAGGCTATTAATGTATTTAAGAGCGACAGCAATTTGTTACTGGCTGCTAGGTGTAAGAAAAAATATGTTTAAAAACAAAAAAAAATACTTTATTTTTATGCTGATTACTTTTTTTTTGAACCTTTTAGTCGAGAAATACTTTAAGTAAAGCCTTAAAAGGTGGCAACCCTAATTACGACCCATAGTTCCTTCAACAATCGTTAACAAATTCCTTTAACAAAACTTAAACCGAGTGTTTTATTTATTTGTTGGTAGCCTTAGTGTTTCAAGTGGTACCTAAATTTGCAGTAGCATAGTGAAATGCCCTTAAAGTAAAAATAATCGTATTGTGAACTGAACTTTCACTGTTCCAATTTTACCTTTTTTCTTAAATAAGACATCTTCGTGCCTCTAATCGATACATTTATAAAACACTCTAAAATCTCAGGTTTAGCCCCTTAGCTTCTCATTACATTAGTCGCATTAGCAAAATGGGGCACTGACACGGAACAGAAATGAGTTTGAAAAACTTGCATTCAATCGATTCACCTAATTTCTTTTATAGAGAAAACTGCCAATTCATTCTCATCTATTATAATGTCAAATTACAAACAGACGTTCAAAACCCAAATTAGGGTCAACTCCTGATAGTAGATTAATGTATTTAAGATCACGTTTTGTGATTAGGTACGAGTGTTAAAAATTATTTGAATTATAAACCGCAAACACGAGAACTTTCAAACAGTTGTGGGGTTCTAAAGGGAAAATTTAAAACTCAACAACTCAGTGTTTTGCACTTAAAGCTAAAATTGTGGAAAAGAATAATATGATACCACTTCCATCGCACAGAGAATAAGTTGACCTTTGAGCAATTTCAACATTACATACTGTATTAAGAGATTAATCGATGAGAGGGATCCAGGGGAAACCTCTACGGGGAAAGGGTGATCTGCCATAACCTAAGTAAAGCTACAAATTCAGTATTTGTTGCTAAAATGGGTCAACCATTTGAAAGAATTTGAACTAAGAATCTAAAAAAATCACTCAATTAAGAGGGGGGGGGGGTCCGATGCTCATCCTGAGGGAACAAACCCGAACTTAAATGTAAGGTTTTCCCTGGTGGAAATATATCTACAACAAACTACGCTTTTATACAACAATCAGCAATTTTTTTCGTTGTTGTAGAAAATTGTAGAGAGTTGTAACTCATAATTACAAAATTCTACAACTTTCTACGAAAAATTGAAAGTCCATTTTATTCCACGTCATAAACTGCAGAAGGTTATAATAATAAACAAAAATTTTCAACAACAATATATTAATGTTCAATTGGAAAACGTAATTTGTTGTGGTTCCTCATGGAATACTACAACATTAAATGATATTCGACAACTTTTAACGTTTCTTATAAAAATGTAAAGAATCGTAGCCGTAATCCTTCGTTGTAGTTCCTCATATAGTTTTTTTTATATAAATATAATAGATAGGTTTAAAACCTTTCGATCTAAGTAAAGGTACGAGCAGTAGTTTTTAAAAATAATTGTATTAGTGTCTAGGAGGAAAATAGATTAAATTTAGTTATAAAAAATTGTCCCAATCAGCGCCGTATACATTCTTGTAAAAAGTTGTAGTGCTTAAACATAATAAAGGTAGGACCAAGTTGTAGAGAATCATTAAGTGTTGTAGTTTTTCGTAGAAAGTTGTAGTTTACTCGTAAAATATTTAAGATATATTTCCACAAGGGCTGTACCTTCATTTT